ATTTATCTCATGATTTCAGTGAAGATTCCTAGATGACTTGCAGAGACATAATTTTCTCTTTACCCCATATAAGACAAAATCTAGTTCTGAAAAGAGCATGAATTCTGTATTTATCTTTAATGTTAGTATATTGATGTGCATAATTAACCACAGGGCTTTTGTTGTCAGGTAATTGTTAACATATAGATAATTAAAATGTTAAATAAGTTAGAATATTCCACTTAAGAGTATTACTGCTGCCACCATCTGTATTATAGGGGGAAAAAATGGTAGGGGTGGCCACAGGGGTGACCAATGATTGGGTAAGGGTGGCATGCCCACCCCTGGCCCCCTATCTAGCTGATGGAGGTCATGCACCATGGTATACAGGTAAAAGCCAGTAAATTAGAATATTTTGAAAAACTTCATTTATTTCAGTAATTACACTGAAAAGGTGTAACTTGTACATTATATTTATTCATTGCACACAGACTGATGCATTCAAATGTTTATTTCATTTAATTTTGATGATTTGAAGTGGCAACAAATGAAAATCCAAAATTCCGTGTGTCACAAAATTAGAATATTACTTAAGGCTAATACAAAAAAGGGATTTTTTTTAGAAATGTTGGCCAACTGAAAAGTATGAAAATGAAAAATATGAGCAAGTTCCAATACTTAATACTTGGTTGGAGCTCCTTTTGCCTCAATTACTGCATTAATGCGGCGTGGCATGGAGTCGATGAGTTTCTGGCACTGCTCAGGTGTTATGAGAGCCCAGGTTGCTCTGATAGTGGCCTTCAACTCTTCTGCGTTTTTGGGTCTGGCATTCTGTATCACAATACCCTACAGATTTTCTATGGGGCTAAAGTCAGGGGAGTTGGCTGGCCAATTTAGAACAGAAATACCATGGTCCGTAAACCAGGCACGGGTAGATTTTGCGCTGTGTGCAGGCGCCAAGTCCTGTTGGAACCTGAAATCTCCATCTGCATAGAGCAGGTCAGCAGCAGGAAGCATGAAGTGGTCTAAAACTTGCTGGTAGACGGCTGCATTGACCCTGGATCTCAGGAAACAGAGTGGACCGACACCAGCAGATGACATGGCACCCCAAAAAGACATGTGCCTCTCCTGTCTTCCTCCAGACTCTGGGACCTCGATTTCCAAAGGAAATGCAAAATTTGCTTTCGTCAGAAAACATGACTTTGGACCACTCAGCAGCAGTCCAGCTCTTTTTTTCCTTAGCCCAGGTGAGACCCTTTTCGCGCTGTTTCTTGGTCAACAGTGGCTTGACACGAGGTATGCGGCAGTTGAAACCCATGTCTTTCAAGCGTCTCTTGGTGGTGGATCTTGAAGCACTGACTCCAGCAGCTGTCCACTCCTTGTGAATCTCCCCCACATTTTTTAATGTTTTTTTTTTTTCACAATCTTGACTAGGGCGCGGTGATCCCTATCGCTTGTACACTTTTTCTGACCATATTTTCCTTCCCTTTGCCTCTCTATTAATGTGTTTGGACACAGAGCTCTGAGAACAGCCAGCCTCTTCAGCAATAACCTTTTGTCTTTCCCTCCTTGTGCAATGTGTCGATGGTCGCCTTTTGGACAGCTGTCTAATCTGAAGTCTTCCCTATGTTTGTGTAGGCTTCAGAACTGGACTGAGAGACCATTTAAAGCCCTTTGCAGGTGTTTTGAGTTAATCAGCTGATTAGTTTGTGGCACCAGGTGTCTTCAAAATTTAACCCTTACACAATATTCAAATTTTGTGAAACACACGGAACTTTGGATTTTCATTTGTTGCCACTTCAAATCATCAAAATTAAATGAAATAAACATTTGAATGCATCCGTCTGTGTGCAATGAATTAATATAATGTACAAGTTACACCTTTTGAATGCAATTACTGAAATAAATCAAGTTTTTCAAAATATTCTAATTTACTGGCTTTTACCTGTATTTCCACAGACACCCAGAGGAGTTTTATGGTGATGCTAAATGGCCGAAATAACGTAAAAATCCATTGGATGATTTCCGATTCTTTTATAGTAGGTATTGGGTTTTCTTGCTGTGGGAGACCCAATACCATGGGGCAGCTCAGAACAATTCTGCAAACGAAACAGCAAACCAGGGGCCAAAAACTAGAAAACCAGATGGCCTAACAGGTTTTGGGTGGTTCTTATTTTTTTATCTTATTTTTCTTAATTGGTGGGATCAGATATGATTTGATAGAGATTGGCACCGGTGGTTCTAGCAGAAAAAAACAACAGCAACAGGGCAATAGTTTATTAAGAGAGCCAAAAGATCTGGAGGCTCTGAGCTTGCAGTTGGGATTCTCTCAATATTTATGAAGCTTAAGATGCAATCCCTTTATTTTCAAATCATTGTTAAGAGAATTTAAAAGGTTTCTAAAGTTTCTATGCCAATGCATATCATCATACAATACAGATTTGGTATTATGTCTTCATTTGAGGGGCCATAACAAGTTCTATGGGGGTACAGGCCCCTGTTGGCCCCTCTCTACAACCGTCCATGCAGACTGGTGTCATATTTACCAAGATGGACCAGAAGTAAACAGTGAAAGACAAAAATGGAAAGCTTTCTGCTGAAATCCACTCTTTGCTTTTGATGCAGGGAAACAAAGCAGTGGCTGATAGAATAGAATAGAATAGAAAATCCCTTTATTTCCCACAAAGGGGAAATTCTGGTGTTTACGGCAGCAAAAATATTATAGAAAAAATGGTCACACAAATGTGGATCTTAGAAAAATTGATAAGAATAAAATAATAGTGAAGAGTTACAATATAGTATTTTGTTAATTTTTGTAAGTGTTTTTACAATTTAAATACTGTGCACCTGGAGAATAAATAACCAATATAGAGCTATGGACAGTAATTTACAATAATGGATATTTAAAAAGTAGCAGCAACATCAGAGATGTGCAAAATGACAGCAGCATGTTATTTAACTGACTAAGGTAGAAACTGTACAAAATCAGCATGAATATTACAACTTATTGAGGTTATTGAGGTTATCAGTCCAATAGGGGGCCTATAATAAATTAGCCTGTTATTTTTCTTTGCTTATAGTAATTAATAAATCGTAATTCTGCATAAAATGTTTGCTTTTTTTTGGGAGCTGGCAAATTTACTGAGCCTGGTAATGTCCCATCCAATGGTGGTTGTCTTTTAAAAAATAAATATTGTGTAATGTTATCAGTGCTATACTATACACTTGTTATGCTTATTGATTTTAACAACAAAAGGTGATACTCTAATATTAATTAACATTAATTGGTGTTATATTGGAGTACAATTATACTTGCTGTTAAATGTAAGAAATTTGTTTAAAGATATCTCCACTACAGTAGTTACCAGGAAGCCTGGGTGCAGCTACATCTTACTGTAAACTGCTTGTCAGCTGGCTGAAAGGTTACTGCACTTTTGCTATTCTTACACGAATGACAGTTGGCTGTTTAAAAGATGATTAAAATTGCTTAAAAGCAATTAAGAGTGGTGCCAATAATCAATATTATTAAACTAAAGCTCCTGTTTTATTCTCAGAACAGAATAAGAAAAGTGTAGAATTTTACACAGAATGAAGTTCACTTGAAAACTGAATTTAGATTCTTTCTCTCTGCTAGATGTATATATTTGCTATTATTTTGTATTTAAAATATAATATGTACTGGAAAATATTGCAAATTTTTATTTTTTTTTTGCCTATGGAATAATATGAATTATAATAGACATTAGTGTGGTACAGGAATTTTATTTTATACAGGAAGCTTTAGAATATGCACCTGAATATTATAATATATGTAAAACCACTGAATATTAAACACAAAAAGACTAATATTTTCATTTTGTTATTGACTACAAATAGCATATTTTTTCTGGAATGCAAGAATCAAAGCAAAGTAATAAGTGACCCTTCGAAATACACATGTGCATATATCATACATGTTTATAAACAATATTTTGTAAATACTGTAGATACAGATCGCATAATAAAACATTAGTGGCTGCTTTTATTCAAGATTTTAAAGTGTTTATGGTCAGAGATTTAAGTTTATCTGTACACTGCTATTCTTACTTTTCCTCTACATCTGACATTTATTGTATAAATACACTACAGATCTTGCATGTGTGGGTAGTATTTAAGCCCTGCAAGAGATAGTAAAGGGAGCCACATGTACTTCCAATTCATTTTCCACTTCAACTAAATTGCAGGCTTCAAATTTATAGTGCCCAAAGATGTTTTGTGAAAGCCTTGAAAATCAATGATACAGAGGGAAGATTTCCCAATAAAAACATTAAAATAGCCGATTCTAAACTGATGAGAAGGTGAAAGGACATAAAGACCAGAAACTAGTCTGCAAATAGTTAAATATGATGGAGGTAACTATGGTAAGAGGTAACTTATCTTGTTTTATTCCTATATGATATTTCATAGTTTTTATATGGGAAGGGTGTAATTTTACTATGTGTGTTGTAATTCCACAATTTTTTTTTATTTTATTCTTTCTTATTATATTATATTTTGTTCTATTGTACTTCTGTAAACGGTTGCACTACAAGAAAATAATTTCCCGCAAGGGATTAATAAAGTAATTGTGATTCTGATTCTGATTGACTACATATTGTTATTCTTCAGCTCAGTTTGTCTTGCTGTAATTCCCTCCCATCCAGCAGGTGGCGGTAAAGCCCCCAAAGGCTGCAGATAAAAAGGAAACTCGCCTCCTACGGTTAAATTTAAAAACAGGCGGTAGTTTTACGACTAGGAAGTTCAGAACAAGGTAAATTAAACATAAATTGTGTTTTTTCTCTGGTATATATGTATAATACCAATCACGTTTAAGCAAGTTTATAAATTGTATTTCATTATATTATGTTCCGCTTGTCCTGAAGGGCTTGTTTTGTTGTTCGTTTTGTTTTGAACGTATCTGCTGCTGTAAAGAAATAACCTAAAGAAGCGAGGGCTGCTGTTTTTTGTGTATATTTATATTTCTTGTTTTTTTTTCGGGCAAGATGACTGCGGACACTGAGATAGAGCTAAAGGAGGCGTTTCAGCGAGCTCAAAAGGGACACAACAACAAGGCGAAGCTGGTGGCTAGCCTGAAGAGCCGCTACAACAAGGTGAAGATGAAGCTAGCTGATGATCATCACTGTTAACAGACAGCAATATCATCAAAACTGTTCTTTATGATAGTTGCTCATCTGACAGGGCTGCTGTTCAGAGGCATTATCAGTGATGAAATGAAAGAAATCACGCTAACACTGGAGGAGCTTCAAAGCTCCTCTAAAATATTATGCGAACCTCGATATATGGTTTATTTAAAATTCAGATCCTTAATCTTAGGTCCTGTTTACTAAATGTTTTTTGTGGGGGAAACCAAAATTGCTTATCTCCATGAAATCACCTTCACCAACATGAAACGTTGCAGCAGAAGGCTGTAGGTGTTTTTTTTTTATGTAGGGACAGAAAAGCTGATCAAATGAGAAGATAAATGGAGCTACATAGAAGGAATCCCTAAATAGCTCCTATAAGAGGCTGAAAAACACCCCTCAAATATTTATTTTGCTGCAAAATCATTTTTTTTGTTCTTTATTATGTATTAATACTTTTTTTTTTAATTTGATAAAGAATTTAAAGTTTTAGGGATGTCATATTTTCAAATCATTCTGGCTTAAACATGCATATAAATGTACCCTTTATCAGATCGTATGGTACTAGAAGTTAGAAATTTTCTATTTAAAAAAAAAAACCTGTCTTAAAATCTGTTTTGTTTTTTCGTTTTTTATGCACGCCAGTTAGTAATACGTCAGCTTGTACACCTAAATTCAGCCAATCATATACAGAAGTATAGATACTGCAGTTTAAGAACACTCTGTTAAAAGTTGAAGTATCAACTTGACCTCTTTACTTAAGTAAAAGTGAAAAATTATGTGCTCCAAAAACTACCTAAAGTATACAGGTATAAAGTAACCTTAAAAACAAAAAACAGCCAGATGCCACTATATGAATTGAAAGCTTAATTTTTCAACTATTTTGAAAAATTCTTTGAGATAGGGCCAAGGATGAGGGAGGTTTTGTTGGTCTCTGACTCCATCTCCCGATACGCTCTCGCCTGTGTCCGACCTTTCAGACATTTCAACATCTTTCTCTAAATCCAACATTGTAGCATGGCATAGACAATTCATGTTTGCAATTTGAAGAACACCTGCTTGAGTGTTTGCATAATATGACTCATCCAATCACACTAGTTTTAATTAGGTGTGGATGGCACTAATGATCAGCATTGGATGGCACACATGACGTGAAATTAATATTTATTAAACCGAAGCCAAGAGTATTGTGTAAAGTTTGTTTAAAAAATTAAGGAATATAAAGTACAGATACTTGTGTGAAAATGAAATAAGTAGAAGTCAGAAGTAGGAGGAAAAATAAGTAATGGAGTAAAGTATAGATACCTAAAAAGTGTACTTAAGTACAGTAACTAAGTCTTTGTACTTTGTTACTTGACACCTTTGATCATATATCAATGGTCATCTGTCAATCAAATGTTTCCGGTCATAGCATCTTGATTCATGTGTCGCAGCTAATATCTGCAATGGTTGAAATAAGAAATTAGAATAATTTCCTTTACCATTGAGTTCCGTCCCAGTGTTCGCGGGGATGGACGTCTGTGTCTTCAGCAGGCGTAGAGCTAACAGAACTGGCAGCGCTGCAAGGCAAGGGCTCAAACATGTACGACTGTAAGCCTTCTACACCAAACCAAGCTTCTGCCGCCCTGGCGTCCTCTTCCACAACATCTTCGTCAGCGCTTTCATCCTCTAAATAAAAAATGTATGACGGAGGAGACTCATTCATGACCTCCAACACAAAACCCTCCCCCTCTTGCATGTTTCTGCTGTCTATAGCGTTCCTTGACAGTGTCGTTTCTAAGTGCTAGTAGGTTCCCAATGTAATTTCCCATTGGGAACCTACTAGCACTAAGATGCTAACTGGTTAGCTAGATACTTCAGAGGAAACAGCCACAACCAAATTTGCTTGTGAAACTTCCTCCACAACAAACCCACCCTCGTGTAAACTCGGGCACCACTTGGGAGAATTCAGAGATGCAACCGTTGGAACAGCCACTTCCCTACGACTTTTAAGTGTTTTTGTAGTTGTTTTTACTCTTGTTTTCCTCTCCCCCAGCTGTTACTAACACATTGTTTGCTCTTGTAGCTGGAGGACAAGACGCTGTTCCATGAGGAGTTTGTCCATTACCTAAAGTATGTCATGATAGTGTACAAACGGGAGCCTGCTGTTGAAAATGTGATCGAGTTTGTGGCCAAGTTTGCCACAAGTTTCCAGCCTCCACCCAATGCAGAAGATGAGCAGCAACAAGAAGAAGAAGAGGAAGAAGATGAGGACGATCATCCATTCCTCAGTTTCATCTTCAACTTTCTCTTAGAGGTATATAAATATTAGCTTCCATGTCATCTCCTGTGATATTTCACAATTTATGGTGGACTTTTGAGGGCTTGATTGTGTGGGGGGCAGGAGCTGGAATATGTATGGGGTCATATGGATTTCCTTGTCATAGGACGACCCTACCTGACTGGTTTTTTTGGGGGCAGGGCCCTGGAATGAAAGAGTTCGAGTGCAATCCACTACATCTTGCACCTTGTATAATGTCCCGATTCATGGATGGATCTGCATATCCGGCAGAGACAAACATGGAATATTTATTGACAGCGACAAAGAGAAGCATGTTATATTTGAGGCATTTGATGAAATATTTGACCAGATTTTCAAACCTTCAGACAAAGACAACAGGAAAGAAATGTATAAATCCATTCAGTAAAGGTTTTTTAAGGTAGTAATGAAAAAAAATGACCTTAAAGCCGACTTTAAAGCAGAATGAAAAGTATATAAACTGGGGTGAAAATCTTAAACTTGTTTTTAAATGAACTAGTCAATACAAACTATTTTTATTCAAGCTAAACACAGTAATTATGCCAAAAAAAAAACAACCAGGTACCTTCATACAGATGACCAACCCCATGGATTACTGTTGTGTTCATCTGCTCACAGCAAGCCTGTCCAACTATTTATTTATGGGAATATGTTTAACTCTGTTCCACCCCCAAATACTTAAGATGTATGCTTGCTGCCCAGGAGTACAATTTAGCCTCATCAGATGTTTTATTTAAATTCCCATTTCTACTATACCTTCCTGATTCAAGATCCTGATAAAGTTTCGGGGGGGGGGTCTATGGCTTCTCATGCCTACGTTTGAGCATTTCTATGTTGAAACATTACCTATATAGCGCACTTACATTTTAACCTACAGGTGTTCGGATCCAAGTGCTTATGGATGCAACTTCCAGACAGGATGTGAGGATTTTAAATTGCTTTTACATTTATGGATTTAATCCTTTTTGTACAAAAGCTCCTCCACCTGGATATCTAAATAAACCTTAATAGTTGAATCGCCTGTACTGCCAAACTGATGTGATGGGTGAAACCTATAGTATTGCCCTCTTTGTCACAAGCTGTTTTTACTTTTTCTCTTCTCTCTTCAGTCTCACAAAGCCAACAATCACGCGGTGCGTTTCAGGGCGTGCCAGTTGGTCAACAAGCTGCTCGGCAGCATGGCAGAAAATGCCCAGATCGACGACGATCTTTTTGATCGCATCCACCAAGCCATGTTGGTCCGTGTCACAGACAAGTTCCCCAATGTGAGGATCCAGGCTGCTTTAGCTATGACCCGCCTTCAGCAGCCAAGAGATCCTGACTGTCCCACCATCAATGGTTTGTTCATGTATATTTTTAACTGTTTACTTTAAAATCCTGTAAATATTAGAGGTCATATTTCTGTTTTTGTAAGAAATTTTGTAGCTAAATTAATAGTATGTTTTATAGTCATCTTAAACTTATGGTTTTTTGTTAAACAATCTTTAACATTCTCCTGTTTTGTTTTGTTGTTGTTTTTTTTTTTTTTTCAGCTTATATGTTAATTCTGGAAAACGATAGTAACGCAGAGGTGCGACGCGCCGTTCTTTCCTGCATTGCAATGTCTCCGCGGACCCTGCCTAAAGTTCTCAAACGCACTCGAGACATTAAAGAGAATGTCCGCAAGCTAGCCTATCAGGTAGCCCTTAAGGCGGTCAATTACAATATGCATACATGTGAGTCTTGCTTAAATACTAAGAAATTTAGGCTTCTCTTATTTCTATGTTGCTGTTTTCCTCATTTTGACTCAAGGTTCTTGCTGACAAGGTCCACATTAAAGCTCTCACCATCGCACAGAGAGTTCTTCTCCTGCAGCAAGGTCTCCACGACACCTCAGGTAATGTTTTAACTTTCCTGGTTTTAATATTTCAGTTACAGAAGAACACCTTCACTGAACACAACATGATTATGACTCAGGAAAAGTGTTAAAACGATGCATCAGTGCATATTAATGTTACACCCAATCTTGATTAGATACAGTGTCTTTTGATCCTTTTTACATTTATTAAAAATCTATCTGGCTGATGATAAATTCTCCAATCAAAAATGTATTTGTAATTACACTACTATGACTACTTGGTGCATAAAATACTTAAAAGTAGGGCTGCGCAACAAAACAATATTGAATAAATCATTATTAGACACATGATCATTATCAACAGAAAATGTGTAATTGATCAAATTAATTAATTTGTTGTTTTTTTTAGATCAAGATTTAATGTCTGGAAAGTCAGATTTTTTTTTTAACTAATCCTAATTTTTGGTTTGTTGCATTTTATTTTTTAATACTATGAAACTTTTTTGTTTCACTGCTTGAATTTTGTTGCCCCCTCAAATTAAAGTTGCCTCCCAGAGAGGTCCATCAAAAACAGCGCTAGTTTATGAAAGCACTAAATGTCATTTTTATTTAATTTTGAAACTTAAGTGATTAAAAAAAAAAAAAAATCGATTTGTTGAAATAATTGGAGATTAGATTTTTTATGTCATATCTTGGCCTGCAACTAATGATTATTTAGCAAATCAATTAATTTGTAAATTAGAATTTTGGTATAATTACTAATTAAGGCATCTTTTAAAGTCTCTATACACCAGTTATAGAGTTAACGGTTAATCGATTACTAAATTAGTTGGCGATTATTTCAATAGTTGATTAATCACAATTAATCCGATTAAATGTGTCAGCCCTTAGTTATATCGTCCTGCCTTGTAGAGTGCTTGGGAATGTTTGAAAACATGAATGGAATTGGGTCAAACTCTGGAAGGCCTTATTACAGGCCTGGGTGGAGTACCTGCAGGTGGATCAGACCCCGTTTACATTTCTTGAGCCAGTTTGTTCTAAGCTCGGTCCGTTTCTCTCAGCTTTGCCTCTCTTGGTTGATCAGCCGTGTCTTTATGAAAAATTCACTGGCAATTTGTTTGCAGTATGAGATACAAGATAATAATAATGCGACTAAATTTTATTGAAATTGTTTGTTGTATTTAATTGGGCTGAACTTCTTGGTTATGCATGGCCCTCCTTCTCGAAGCCTAGAAAAAAGAAGAGTTGGTTGAATACCACACTGATAACCATTAGAAAAAAAAACATCCTACTTAAAAGGAAAAAAAATATTTTGTTCAATCTCTCTAAAAGAGATGGCCCTTAAAAAAAAAAAAAAAAAAAAAAAAAAAAAAAAAAAAAAAAAAAAAAAAAAAAAAAGACAAGAGCCATCCTGGACCTTGGACTGAGTGCTCTGACATATTCCTGTTAAAGAAAAATACAAGGTTCAGTTCTTTTGACTGTTTTAACCTTCACAAAATAATATATTTATTATTTCAATGTGTTCACATGCATTGAATGCATAATTTACTTATAACCAACCAGTACCTTATTTGTAAAGCCTTTTTCTACATCAATAATGGTCACCATACGTCTTAATTCAAACTTGATAAACCAAAAAACAACAACAACTGACAGAGAGAGAGAGATAAAAGAAAACACCAAATAGCATGAATAGATTTTCATTTTTCAGGAGCCACTACTAGGAACAAATTACAATCTAATCTTCTCTTTAAAGCCATTGTGACGCTGAAAGGATTTAAAATCCTTGATAAATCCCTGCAATCAATTTTGTCAGTGTTTAAATGCTTTAGGTGAAAGTTTCTGCTGAGATAAAATTTTTTCATTAAGCAGCTAACTTCTGCTCCCCCACTCTCCTTATGTACCGTTCAGTTTCCAGGTCCACTGTTGCTAATGCAAACCAAAGCAAACTTTTAACTTGTCAATTCAGAAATAAAACAGAAACCTCAACATCGCTTTGAGCTCCTTCACCTCCTTAAATCAGGACCAATTCTCAAAAATCTGGCCGATGGTCAGCCGGGGTTTTGCATCTTTTTAAAGAAGCTCCAACCTACTTGTCCTACTGGACAGTGATCCTTTTGTCACTGTTTGCATAATAACATGAGGTTATTCTGTACCTCTCCAGATGTTTTGTGGATTACCAGTAGGTATTAACTTACAATCAATGTTTTGACACTGTGTGTTTTAAAGAGTCGGTCAGAGAAGTAGTTTGCAATCGGCTGCTGCCGGCCTGGCTTCTTCGCCTGGATGGAAACATGATCGAACTGCTCCATCGTCTGGATGTGGAAAACTGTGCAGAGACAGCTATGGAAACCCTGAAGGCCATTTTTAAAAACAAGCCAATGGAGGAGCTGCTACAGAACAAGGGACAGCTTGACAACAGGTAGGCTTCTCTTTCACATGTAGCTATATGAACATCTGATAATTGACGTAAAGTGTGTCTGCATTTCCCCTCAGGAAGGTGATCCCTCTGGACTCTATAACTTGTGAAACGATGCTGTACTGGAGAGCTCTGTGTGAGTTTCTGAAGGGCAAAGGAGATGAAGGGGAGGAGGCTCTTGAACAAGTGTTACCAGATGCTGCGACCTATGCAGACTACCTCAGTGGGTAAGTGCTTTAATTATTAGTTATCAACTGGTTATTAGCTAGTTGGTTACCCAATAACTTGTTTTTTTCCCCCATAAAAATAAATGTACCAGAGAAAAAGGGTTGCTGATATTAGGCTATTTACGAAGGTGCAAGCAATGATATATTTATTTATTATTGCATTTATTGAAAAGAAAAACTCAGTGTATTTCTTTATTAAAGGGACCAGTGCATTACCATTGCTTCATAAATATACAAGTTAAAAGCTGTAGCTAATTTGCAAATCCTTGCACCAGGTTGGATTCCCAGGATTATATAATAGGAAATGTATAGGCATTAGGCAAATGGAAGCATATCTACACATGTATGGAATAGGACTGGGGCCATAGTGGGGGGGCGAAAGCATTTTAAGGCCTTTTTATTTGGGGAAACTGTAACTATGTCCTGGCAGTAGAACATGAGTAGGCGTCGATATCACCTTAAAATCTTATCACAATATTGTGATAAGAATTGATAGTGTTTCAATTGTGATGACAATTAAATTGACAATAAAAAACTCTTCATCATTCTTTGAAATCGTTCTTAAGTAACTGCTGAGCGATCAGAGCCTCACAATCACAGACGCTACTCTGGGGGAAAAAAACAGAAAATACAAATCTTACAGGTAGCATAGGCTTCTTCAGGACACCGTTACATAGTAACCATATTTAATCATATTCTTCAAATTTATCAATGGGGGGGGTAAAAGTAAAGATGAGAAGTATAAAAAGTAAAATTCTCCAATTTTTTTTATTACCACTAACTGAAATTTATTGCTTAGACAAATAATCAAAATTGATATCATGACTAGAAATTTATCACAATGATAAAGGATATGATAAATACCCACCTGTAAACATGAGACAGATATTCTATAAAAAAAAAAATCAAGCTCCTCTGGCTTCTCAACCCAGCGCACCTATTCAGAAGCAGCCAATCAGAGCCTGGGGGAATTTCTCAGCAGTGTTAATCACGCTCGTTTACACACTGCTCACACTCCTCCTCTGCACAGCATGTTCTGTTGTTACAGCCCAATATTGCTGCTGTGCTGCAGCTGTGCGTCAGTTTTAATCATATTATTGATGTTTCACTGCTACCAGTGAATCTGCCAGAGCTGTTTATCGCTTGTCATCAGCAGCGCTGCTACTAGCCTGATGTTCAAGGCAGACGCTGCTGTAGGGAGGGGCCTATAAGGCGTACCTTTTTTAATCTTACGGTTAAGATCAGTAAAATCTACAATAATTTCAGGATTTTAACTTTTGAGAAAAAAAACTCAGAATCTTGGGAATACAGTAAGAATAAAAAAAAAGGTCAACATTTTTTTCTCTCTCTCACTATGACCACAATCCTCTTCCAGGAACTGATTTTAATGTAACTATTCTTGTGTCTTTAGCTTAACTTAATATTCTCTTATCCCAATTGTAAATGCAATATATTTTGCAAATATTAAAAACAGCTGATGTCCACCAGTGGAGAAATCAATAAATCCTAATCAAATTGATCTGATCAATACCTACATATTTTTCATTTGATTCAGATTTGGGTGCAGTTCCAGTTATCAAAGTAAAACCCAGGGGATTTTTCCATGGTTTATAACTTATTTTTCCCCACTGATATTTTCTATCTACTCTGTGGTAATGTGATTCCGAAAACCAGCATTGCCATAACAACGATGTTGTAACCACAGGTATCCGAAGGCAGTTTTTTCAGAGGGAACCGTTGTGTATGTAATTGTGTGGCTAACAGAAGCTTGAGTATTGTGTCTTACTTATCTCGTTTGGGCTTTACTTGCCTTATATTAAGTGTTTTTTTTATGTTTTTGCTGCCAAACAAGCGTTATATTTCAACTTGCATAATGCAACTTATTTTGGCTTGCTTACGGCTGATGTGTGTGTAGGCAGTAAGGGTAGGGCGCTACGCTACTGCTGGAGGGGACTGACTCTTTGTCTCATTTAGTTACCTGAAGGAAGTGCCGGTGCTCACAGAGGAGCAGAGGGCCGACTTCAGCCAGCTGGAGCTCGTCATGACCAAAGAGTTCATCTCCCAGCAGCTCATCCATCTCATTGGGTGTCTTGATACCAACGAGGAGGGCGGCAGGTAAATTAGCATCAGGAAGGTGTAGATGCATCTGCAATCTGCATGGTTCCTCTATCAATCTGTTCATTCAAATTACTGTGGAAACGGTGGAATATTGAGATCAAACTGTACAAATGTATAGAAACTCAATTCTTGTATGCAGACCTATATTTTATATCCAGACTTGACCTCCGTACCAACATATGTTGGACTAACGGATCCGTGTCTCTAGGAAGCGCGTGCTGGCTGTTCTGCAGGGGATGCTGGCTCTCCCACAGACCCCCTCCTCCCTGGTGTCTCTCCTCACTGAGAAACTCCTCGCTCTCATCCCAGACGACCAAAGACGCATCCAGGCTGTAAATCACGTTTTTTATTTTTTATTTTATACAGTGATGATTCTCAATAAGCCAGGATTCTTGTCAAGAAAAGAAGGTTCCTACTTCCATAACCAAAACAAAATCTTGTTTTGACAGAAACAAGAACCCAATCCTCAGTCTAGCTTTTGCTTAATCTCCTGCCTGACTCATTTTAATGCAGTTGGCTTTCTTTAACAGGTGGCAGAGATCATTTCAGATGTGAGAGAGCCCATCATGGAGGCCAGTCAGCCGGTGGATGAGAAGAAGAGCCGTCGGCAGCAGGTCAAGGTGGGAGAGTTTCTATAGTAAAGACAACCCAAATAACATATTTGAAACAAGATAAAAATTATTTAAGTTATAAAAATCATTCAGTGATTATAAATTTACTGTTATTTGTTTAATTCTTTAATACCATCTGATGCTGTGGTTTCCATATTTACTCTACTAGATGATGACAAGAGTTAGATCAGGTTTGCTAACCAAATATTTCCTGCAGTCTTTAGATGGTTTTTCCCTGATAGCGGAGGCCCTGTCAGTCTTCTACTGTGCACTCCAGCAAATGAATGACTCCTCTCTTTCTATTTTGTTTCCTCTCTCATGGTCCCCTCTAGCTTGCAGAGGTAAAGGTTTGCATCATGGAGGCCAAACAGGCTCTAGAGGATTGCATCGCTGCCCAGGACTTCAGCCGAGCAGCAGAGCTGAAGGATTCCATCGTGGCTCTAGAGGAACAAAGAAACCAGGTCCTTGAAGAGATCTCAGAAAGCAACCAGCCGGTCGACAAAGAAGTTCACGCTGAGAAGGTGCTAGAGGGCATGAGACGATTTAGTGGTTTATCAGTAGTTAATGCAAACACCTAATCTGATGTTTTGTGATAGAATGACCCAGAGACTCTCCTGAGGTGTCTGACAATGTGTGCTGAGCTTCTGAAGCAGATGAACATGAAAACCCGAACTGGTCCAACTATCAGCGCCCTGATGTCCTCACTGGTAACCAGATTGCTCTCTTTATGCCTTCATGCATGAATGGTGTTTAGAAACTCCTCTACAGTTTGACCTGGGTTTAGAAAGCACTATGTGACAGCCTGCGGTTTAACTAAATGATTCTCTATTTTTTTTAGAAGTATGGGGGGAAAAATAACAAAATTGAAAAAAGTTGTATTTCTAGGCTTCAATTTCCAATAATTATGTTCCGAATATTGTGTCCTTCTAGCCCATCTTTCCTGTGTCCTATCGTTTCCTCCGTCCTTTTCTGTCTTTTCTTCTTTCCATACCTCCATTGTCTTCATTTATTTCTTTGCTGTTCCTTTAACATCTTACCCTGCATCCTCCTTTCTCTTACAGTGTGTCATTCTTATCTCCACACGTGCCATTTTTCCCCCAGTTTTCTCTTTCATCTTCCCTCATTCCTTATTTTGTCTCTCCTTCTGTCTCTGCCTGTTTTCTTGTACCTCCTTACGTCCTTGGTGGTATCTTGCCTGTCCTTCCAAATCCTCCCTCCCTCTCTTGTCCCTGCAAGCTACAGAGGGTCTGACTCGGATCGCTTTAGGCAGCAGAGGGGCTATAAAAAGAAATCCCTGCAGAAAATGACTATTCAAACTGTAGAAGGCTTAAATGCATGTTAAGTTTCTAAACTTATTAATGATTAGGCTTTTGGATTTGGAAGAAGGTGTACGTTAAAGCTGGAAATGCTAATTGTCTGATGGGTTGTGAACAGATCTTAAAAATAGCATCTAAGACTGTTTTAAAAATATCTCATCTTCAAGGAAGACAGAACCTGAAATACATGGATCAAAAATAGAAAGAGATTTTTTTTTTTCTCCTTTGCATTAATATCTGTCAAAACAGAAGAATTAATTCAGACACATGTACTTGATTAATACTGTATTAATTCCTTGTGGATATAGAGAGATGTGCCTTGTGTCATGTTTCCTGTCTTTGTCCTGGTTAGATCCTCCCTTCAATAGCCAGCGCTCACCCTGCTGTTCGAAACATGGCCGTGGTGTGTCTGGGAACCTGCACGCTGCACAGCAGGGAGCTGGCCAAAACCCACATGGTGCTCCTGCTACAGGTGAACCAAAGCAGCTTTATTCTTTTATGACGTTTATATATCTTAGCGTAAGTCGTTGGTTCAGTTGCAGCTTAACTTAAGAAGATTAACAAGTAATGCATATTTTTCTAGAAGTAAACCATGATCCATACAATGAAAATTCTAACATTGTTTCACTGTAAACACAACTGCTTTTATTGGTGTTTATGCTATAGGTTATAGGTTAACCCAAAGTGGTTCTTCTTTTGTGTTGTTGCATTAACATGTCACTTTATATTTTGTTTTGAAGGGGAAAAAGAAAATCTAAAATTTAAGGGGTGTGAATACTTAAAGTTAAGAGCTAGCTTACATGCCGGGTTTTTTACTGGTAAAATAATAACAGTCATATTTTCTTTTTCCTCCAGATCGCCCAGCTGGATGAGGTGAAGATCCGCATCAGTGCTCTGCGAGCAATAATTGATCTGCTGCTGCTGTTCGGTTTCCAGCTGCTCTCCGAAACGGCTTCCACTCAGACCGTCCAACCCGCCCAGTCGCCTGACAAGCTGGAGGGTGACGCGGCGACGGCTGAAGACAGGGCAGACATTCCAGAAGACACCGCTCAGAGCATACTGGTGATGCTTTCAGAGTTCCTGGACAGTGAGGTGGGGAGGTTCATTAGTTCATACATCGGAGAAAGAAAAAAAAGTTTGTCTCACTTTCTAGAGGACTTGAATCTATTTTCCTCTCATATTGTTTCCAGGTGTCTGACCTGCGGACAGAGACGGCCGAGGGTCTGGCTAAACTGATGTACACCGGCCGGATCTCCAGCGCAAAGTTGCTTTCACGCCTGGTGCTGCTGTGGTACAATCCTGTTACTGAGGATGACGTTCGCTTACGTCACTGCCTTGGGGTTTTCTTCCAGCTCTACGCCCGCGAGAGCAGGTCTCCCAGACGCCGCATTCATAGTGATGATAACATGACTGCGACGTGATTAATCAGCAGCTGATGTCTGTGTCACAGAGCCCACCAAGAAATTGTGGAGGAGAGTTTCCTGCCAACAGTTAGAACTCTGCTGAATGCCCCGGTGACTTCTCCACTCGCTGAGGTGGATGTTAGCAATGTGGTCGAGCTCCTGGTTGAGCTGACCCGTCCCAGCGCCCTCATTAAACCGTCAGACAACACAGAGGTAAACAACAACAACAACACAGATTCTATTAAAGTGCCATATGGATTTCTTCTGTTTCCTTTTTATTTAGGTTTGGTGCAGCATAGCATGTCTAAAGAGAAAATGTAGTCTATAGTTCTCTTTATGCATCCCCTCATCATGATGCATCCAACACCATGTTTGTTTTCAATCTGTCTAGGGCTGCAACTAACGATTATTTTAAAAATCGATGAATCGGACGATTATTTTTTCGATTAATCGATGAATCGGACAAAAAATATTTTTTATATTAACCTCTTTATTCCAAAATAAACATTATAGACAGAACAAACAAGCACACAAGTACAGGTTGCTCATTAACTGTACTGGTGCAATATGAAAAATAAATGTTTGTGTTAAAACTACGCAAACTTACATGAGAAATGTAGATGTACATCCACAAAATATAGGCTACTTTGTTTCATAAAGCACAAAAAAAGACATTTTTGTTTTTAAAAGCCTCTAAGGGGTTCAAACAATAGGCCCCCCCATTTCAAAAAATGAGTTTTTTTTAGACTAGAAGAGTTCTGCCTTTTAAGACAGGAAAGTACAGCAGTTAAAGTTGCTACTTGAGAAAATACTGAACCATAGAGATAAAAATAGCCTGTGATTCAAATTATAAATTGTATTTGGAATAAAAATGAGAGAACTAGGGGTGCTAAAAAACACATCCTCCAAAGACAGATATTTACATGGGAATGTGGCAGATAATTAATTGACATATTACTGATCTTGCTGGATTTTATTCTGCTTTACTTCTATAAATTGCAGGATCATCTTTACTTTATCTTTGCCAGATTTAAACTTTAAAAGTCTTGCCCTCATAATTTGCAAGTTAATTTATTTATAAAGTAAATGTAAACGCTGCTTAAGCTAGTTCAAATGAAATTTAAAGTAAAATAAGTAGCCAACCTTATCACTGTCTGTAACCTACTAACAAGATAAGGAAAGCATCAGATGAGCTACCTGAGAAACTAACGTAACGTTTCCCCACTTTAAAACCAAACAAACATGGTGGTTCCGTGCCATGTTAATTTCTTTTGAAAAAAGTTGCATGTTATCACTTTTTTCACTTTACAAAGCACAGGCTATTTTAATTATTGTGATCAATTTGCGCCGTCAATCCCGGTGCATGCGCGCTTCATTTGCAGTCTGGACGCTGAGGCTCTGACTGAGAGGGACTCCTGCGGGAAAACGCGGTTGGGGTGGGGGAGGCGCCCCACGGCAGAGTAGGAATGATACATGCTTTCACGTAAGAGTCTCCAAAAGCCACCAGTGACACCGAAAAAAGTCGCCAGATTTGTCGCTAGTCGCTTTTTTGAAAAATAGTCACTGGAGGGGTCTGAAAAGTCGCGGAGTTGGCAACACTGCTCCTGCGGCGCTGACTCGCTCTGCCGTATTTTTTTTCCTTCCTCTTTCAGTCAAGAGGCAGTGATGACGGCGCAGCGGATGACGCAATAATCGCGCGACACAACTAATCGATGATGAAATTCGTTGCCAACGCTTTTAAAAGTCGACTTTTATCGATTTTATCGATTCGTTGTTGCAGCCCTAAATCTGTCCCACGTGGTGCTTTACATGTAGGTCAAACATTTCAAATGTTCTCTGATCAGAGCCACTTCTTCCACATATTGTTTCTTTATATTGTGGTGAACTGCTTTCAAGATTTCCCTCTTAAGGCTTCTTCTAGCACTGCTTTCTTTCTGCCCCTCTTTCATCACAGCCCGATTTGTGGCATGCATGACTACGCAGCTCTCCCAAAGATCCCCCGAGCCTGCTGGCTTCTTCTCTGGTCTTTTCTGGTTAGCAGCAGCCCGTCTGCCTGCTGTGTTCTCTTCACTAATAACCTCTTAAAAAAGAGAGACCCTCACAGAACAGCTAATTTTTTACTAAAATACGCCATAAATCTAAATTGCTATTTTTAATCAATATTATAATTTTCATTTTTCTTTGCTAACCACAAGCTTGTATATGTTTTAGTTATTTCCTAACCTTGACAGACTGTTTTCCAGAGTCCATTGTTGCAGGACTTTGCTGTAACCTTTGTGGGGAAAAATTCGTACTACTATTTGCATGCATACATCTGCTACTTGGCTGCAACTCTCTAACTTTCTGTGACGGTAAACCCACTTTAAATGTATTTCCGCCTAAAGGGCTGCAGTGTGAAATTTATTTTCTTACTCCTGTTAAATGTAATGAAATGGAATTAGATTAAATTACACACAGTTGGACTCTAATATTGTTTGTCCAATAAGTTTTCTTTAGTGGTTTCAGAGTAGAGGTGGTTGGTTTCAAGTACAAGCAACACTTTCCCTCTGAGTAACTTCAAAGGATGTAACCACTGTTGCAGGGCACATCTAACACTAACTGACGGTTAGCTAAGTCTGTTTGTCTATTCTTTTCAGGAGGTGTGCGTCCATGACTACCTGGCAGTGCGTATGTGTGGGGAGATGCTCAAAGATCCTACGGCCCCTGAAGTGCGCCTCTTTGCTAAAACTCTGAGCAACCTGGAGCTCAGTAGGGGGGAGACGGTGAGGGAGGACCTGACGACACTGCTGCAGAAGCTTGTACAGGTAGACCGATTAAAAACAGAATGGTGAAAATTCAACACCTGATGGAACTACAGTAAGATGCTATGGAGTAGTGCCTCATGTTTTATGGTTTCTCTTTTGGTCCTGATAGGTAGTAAAGGATCGGGTTTGCCTCCGTGCTCTGGAGAAGATGTTGCATCAGCTAGTGGACTCTAAAGAGCAGGCGGAGGTCCCCGATACCAGTGCCCTCCAACCACTAGACGTCAATGCAGATGGTACATTTTTAAGTTTCTATTTACCTTTTTTTCTATAAATGTACATCTGAAAGATGCTAAGGTAACTTTAAAAGCCAAAGTGTCAGTAAAGAACTGAGCTGTAAATGTATGAACACAAATCATCTCTCTGCAGAGGCTGCAACAGAAGATCCATCAAAATCTGTAAAGAGACCTAAGAGAGGTAACTGGGATCCTGTGTCTGTACATTCAGTTATTTACAGCACCGGAATATTTTTAGAGCTCCTGAGAGGAGGGGGTGACTCAGCATAGGGAGGTAACCTGAGCGTTTGTTTGCATAGGTCAAAGGAAAGCCTCCAGTGCCAAAGGGGGCAGAAGGCCAAGCAGAAGGGCCGAGTCATCAGAAGAGAGGTGAGGTTCCATTTATTCTAACAAGACAGAAACATGTCCGATTTTGCTCACTTTAAGAGATGCATACCGTTTAGTTCTAACACACCTGTGTTTGGCTACAGTGATGGAGAAAACGTCCCTGAGTCTGTTCCTGTGGTACGTCCATCACGGAGGGCAAAGACTGCAGCTCTGGAGAAAACCAAACTGGACTTGAACCCTCTCATCAACCAGGAGGCCAATGTGTCATAAAAGTCCTGTCTTAAATATCACTTAAATACTTTGCTTGTTATCTCCTAGAAGGGCCATTAAATTTACCATACAGGGGGAATAATTCATTTTTCTGTCTTAGTAAATATAACTAATCTCTTAACATTTATAACCAATATCTCCATCTTCTGTTTAACCTTGCACTCAACTTGGTTATCTTTTATAATGTGTTATATATGATGCATTTTAACCCTTTTAGTATGGTTTTAATCATTAAAATAAAATTTGACAGAAAAAAAATGTGTGTGTATATATTCTGCATCAATCAATCAACTGGTAACAAATTTTGTGATTTTCTTGTTGAGTTCTGATGGTATAACGGCCATGGTGTTGTTCTTGTTGGAATAACTTAACCATGATGCTTTGCCAACTTTCACAATGCAGTCTGGTATTTGATTTCAATCTTTGTAGGTAGATAAACATGGGCTAAATATGTGTATAAAATATATTTCCTTACTGTTATGTAGGTCCAGGAACGCAGATATGACCGATACAGGAGCCATTTTGAATTAACTGACTCACTAAACTGCTTAGAAGCGCATCTGTCAATGCAACGCATCTGCCCAAAATTCCCTCTCTTGTGGTTTATCATTTAATTAAGTAAATTCAGATTTTAAAAATATAAACTCTATATATAAATCAGTAGGAGTCCACCTACTAACATGGCCAAGACCAAAGAGCTGTCCAAAGACACTAGAGACAAAATTGTAGACCTCCACAAGGCTGGAAAGGGCTATGGGGAAATAGCCAAGCAGCTTGGTGAGAAAAGCTCCACTGTTGGAGCAATCATTAGAAAATGGTAGAAGCTAAACATGACAGTCAATATCCCACAGACTGGGGCTCCATGCAAGATCTCACCTTGTGGGGTCTCAATAATCCTAAGAAAGGGGAGAAATAAGCTGAGAAATACATGGGAGGAGCTGGTCAATGACCTGAAGAGAGCTGGGACCACCATTTCCAAGGGTACTGTTGGTAATACACTAAGACATCTTGGTTTGAAATCATGCATGGCACAAAAGGATCCACTGCTTAAACCATCACATGTCGAGGCCCATAAGTCATGTGGTCAGATGAGACAAAAATACAACTTTTTGGTCATAATTCCACTAACTGTGTTTGAAGGAAGAAGAAGAATAATGTATACCATCCCTACTGTGAAGCATGGGGGTGATAGCATTATGCTTTGGGGCTGTTTTTCCGCACATGGGGCAGGGCAACTGCACTGTATTAAGCCCCAGTCACACCTTGATGATTTAGCCAGCGTATGCCTGACAAACAAAGAAATCTGGCAAAAACACTGGCACATGTTGCATAAGGTATGGGTAAGTTTTGTATAAGTTATGAGCACGCTGAAACATGCTGGCACATGTCGACATCCGGCCAGTACGTTGAGAATTTCTTGACATATACCAGAGTATGCTCAAATGTGGTTCATAAGTTACAGGTAAGTTATTTGATTGTTGACATACTTTAAGTGAAAAATTACTCATAAGTAGCAGCGTCTGACTGATCCAAAACCTATGAGGAACTTCTGCATAACTTCTGCTTAATTTATCAAGAACTTATCTCCAACGTATATCAACGTATTTGATGTGTTAAAAGACGACCACTGAACTTATTTCTCTCTCTATATATATATATATACATATATATATATATATATATATATATATATATATATATATATATATATATATATATATTCTTTAAAAGGGGTAGAAAGAGGGAGAATCTTTTCTATTATGAATATCGCAAGCAACTATAAGGTGCATACCGCCACCTACTGTGCAAATTTCAAATTGTATTTTTTTATTTTGTATTCTGAAGATAAATAAAGAGTGCTTTCCTTAATCTATAAATATACTTTATATTTCCTTCTTTTTCCAATATTCCTTTAAGAATCCATTCTTTGCCTGTCCTCCAGCCATTCTTCTCAATTTCTCCCTTTCAGGTTCATAAGTTTACAGTTCATCAGTACATGTTCTAAATTTTCTTTTTCTCCACATCCTTCACATTTATCATTATTTTCCTCCCTATTTAAAATAAATTCTCATTTAAATAGGTATGACCCACTCCTAATCTGGTTGTTGTTAATTCTTCCTTTTTCTGTCATTAATATTTCTATTTAATACTGACTTTTGTACTTTACATAACCCTCCTTCTTTCTTATCTTCATTTCACCTTTTTAGCCATTTTTCCTATTCTTTACTCTAAGGGATTTTTCTTCCCCTTTCCAAAAAGGAATTGTAATCATTATTGTTCCATCTAAAGCCCTTTTTGCTAATATATCTGCATTTTAATAGCCTTTTACACCTTCATGTGCTGGATCTCAAAATAACCAAATATCAATGCCACCCCATATAATCTAAATAGACTGTGCTGAATCTCTAATATTAAATATTTTCTATAATTTCCTTCTCCCTGAATACTTTCTAAAACTGCTGTGGAATCTGTACAAACCACCACCCTGTCTGGTCTGACCTCTAACCATTGCTTGGTATAACTGCCATCATTTCTGCTGTGAAAACAGTTGATCTGATATTCTTTTAGAAATGTATATTTTAAACTCTGATATATTAGGGAGAATCTAGAGGTTGGTCAGATGGGAGGGAGGTTAGAGAGGAAAGAAATAAAAAGACAAAAACAAACACAAGTCCGAGAATACAAGCTCAGGGAGAGCGAGCAAATGGGAAAGAGGACTGGAAAGTTACAGTCGAGTTTAAACAAGAGGGAGGATACTTACATCATAAAACTAACTAAAGCAATTGAGAAGGAAATTGGACCAATCAAGTCAGCCAGGGTAATGAACAACCGTAAGATTTTAATTTCTGCTGTTAGCAAAAAACATCAAGAACAGATTCTCAAAATGACAACTCTTGTAGGTGGAAGAATCCAAACATACATCCCTGGCGCAGCTGCAAGATTAAGAGGAGTAATTTCAGGTGTTCCACTTGACATGACAGTTGATTAAATCAAACAAGAAATAAAAGGAGGAAAAATAAGTGAAGCAACAAGGATTAAATACAAAAGAGATGGAGTTTTTAAAGACACCATGGCAATTATATTGCAGTTTGAGAATGTGATTGCAGAATCTGTGCAGATTGGCTATATAAACTTCAGGGTGAGAGAGTACATTCCCAACCCAATAAAATGTTTTGTATGTCAAAGAATGGGTCATGTAGCTAAGGAGTGCAAAGGGAAAATTAGGTGTGCAAGGTGTGGAGGTTCACATGAATATGGAAAGTGTGATAAAGATGCCAAAGTTAAATGTTGTAACTGTGGGGGAGAACATAGTGCAACATATGGTGGATGCATAGTACAGAGGGAGGCAAGACAAGCACAAAGAATAAAAATAACAGGAATTTTCATATGCTGAGGCATTAAAAAAAAGTTAGAAAAGAAAGTACAAAGAACTTGGGGAATAAAGAAGTCAAGGAGAGAGAAATCAGGAAAATAATGACTCACAAAGAAAACAGAATCAAAACGTCAATTCCACAGGTGAACACCAGGCATGCAAGCATAAATGTAATGTAGATGCAAATACAATGTTGGTGCTATTTGTCACATTATTAATGTTAGAGTGCAAATGAAAAAGAAAAGTGATAAAATCAAAACGATTGTAGAAGCAGCAGGACGGTTCCTGGACATGAAAGAGGTCCAAGTGGATCAAGTTCAGCTATAAATGATCAAGAAAAGGATTAAAAAATAAAAAAAAAATGCTCATACAAATTCTTCAATGGAATGCTCGAAGTTTCATAGTTAATGGTCAAGAATTTAAAAAATATGCACATAATATGTACATGAAGTAGAAACAGCTCCAGATATTATATGTGTTCAGGAAAGTTGGTTAAAACCATCTTTAGATTTTAAAATTCCCGGTTACAGTTCAGTCAGAAGAGATAGGAGTAACAATTGGCATATAGAGAACATCAAGTACCAGGTCAATATGAATGTGTAAGTGTAGAATTGTTTAAATTAGAAAAATAATGGTAACATTAGGATTCTTAGTTATTATAATCCATGTAAAAAGTTAGAAAGTGAGATATTTAATAAAATTTCAGGATCAATTAAAAGAAGAAAAGTTTGGTGTGGTGAATTCAATGCATATAATAGTCTATGGGGAAGCAGACAGACAATAATGGTAGATAGTGGAAGAAATGATGGATGACTGGTGTCCCTTAATAATGGTCAGGGAACTAGAATTGACATACATAAAGGAACTGTCTCATGTCTTTATTTTAACATTAGTATCCAGTTTGATCGTTAGCTCTTGTGAATGGGGTGTGACGGGAGAGTCCACAATAGAAGGTGATCATTATCCTTTTAGCACAATCATTAAAGATAATTTATTAAGACAAGACAAACTCAAACAAGATGGTGCTTTAATAAATCTAAATGACAAATTTTTTTAAAACAGTATGTGAACAAACCAGTCATTTAGTGACATTAAAAGGAAATGTAAACGAGTGCACTAAACAGGTAACGGAACATATACTAAATGCTGCAGAACTTAGAATTCCAAAAAAAAAAAGTCATCAAAGGAAAGACAAAAATTGAGCCATGGTGGAATAAGGATTGTAGCGGAGCAATTAAAGAACGAAATAAAGCATTTAAAACGCTACAGAAAAATTTTACAGTGGAAAATCTTATTCAATATAAGAAGAAAAGTGTAGTTAAAAGCCTTCAGCTGATCCAAAATGCTGCAGCCAGAGTTCTGATGAGAATTAAAAAGAGAGATCATATCTCTCCTATTCTAGCTTCTCTTCATTGGCTTCCTGTTAAATCAAGAATAGAATTTAAAATCCTCCTTCTCACATATAAAACTATAAATGGCCAAGCTCCATCTTATATCAGAGATATGATTGTTCCTTATGTTCCTAACAGAGCACTTCACTCTCAATCTGCAGGTTTACTAGTGGTTCCTAGAATTTCTGAAAGTAGAATCTTTTAGTTATCAGGCTCCTTTCCTGTGGAACCAACTACCAGTTTTAGTCCGTGAGGCAGACACCCTGTCTACTTTTAAGGGTAAGCTTAAAACTTTCCTTTTTGATAAAGCTTACAGTTAGAGTGGCTCAGGTTATCCTGAGCTATCTCTATAGTTGTGCTGCTATAGGCTTAGACTTCTGGAAGACATAGGGACCCCTATTTTTATCATTTTGCTTCATTCTATCTCTATTATTCCAATCTGCAGAATCTGTTAGTTCAATCTCTAACGTTCTGCTCTCTCTGCT